AGCTCCGAGTTGCAGCATTAAAGCGCAGCTCATTAGGAGCGCGTGGGGGTCGCTTTCGTCTGAATCATCTGTCAGGTTTGTCATCCTCTTTACTGGTTTGTGTGAGGAGGAACTGTGTATTGATAGTAACAGCACTATATTGCTTACAGTGACACGTGCTGTGCTCCTGTCACCATGGAGACGCAAATCGCAGTTGTCTTTGATCCTTTAACTCCTACACCTTCGGTCGTCTGATTATATAATTATTATTATTATAACATTCAAATTAATGCAGTGGCAAAACGAGCCATCCAATCCGCATGGCACCAAGGCCAGGACCCAATGACCTTACAGTTGTATTGAACAAAAACCTCTTGGCTACTAAACTTTATTCTCACTTAAACTTACACTTTGAGGAGATAAACACTCATCAAAATGCAATCAAGTGCCAATAATTGTGGCAGAACAGTGCGTTTTAATTCAAACCAGCAAAATGTACTTCGAAATGTATTTATAAAAGCTTGTGGTGCAATGTCCATTTGCTAAGGTCTAAATCTTATGCAATAAAATCACATTGTGGGAATAAGGTTAGTTGGTGCTGCAATGATTCACTCCTGTTTTCCTTCCAAATTGTTGACCTTAAAGCAAAAAACATCTATTTAAACCTTGCATAACGTTGTTGTAATACATGACGAATATAACACGGGCACAAAGCAATGTAAGGAAAACCAGCTTTGAAGAGATTGTTCAGGGCAGTCGTTGTTAACAGCTTAAAATCGTGCACTACTTATTCAAATACCAAAGTCAGTTTGGTGCAACTGCCCTACTTATTGGTTATATGCTTTATCACTTTAGAGATTTACTGGTCGTAAATAAAATTACCAATTTGAAAGAAACAATATTCAGATCTACCCGCGATCTCACATCTATATTAATTGGATTCCAACGCACGGATCAATCTCAATGGGGTTTTAAGACGTGAAATAAACTATTATGGACAGAGGGATCAGGGGAGGGAGTTGATTAGCTGTAAACTCTCATTTACAGGAAGATATTCTTGTCCATTGTAGTAATTGCGTTAATCTAGATTTAAACCTGATTGATGTGACGTTAACAGTGAAACTGCATTTTTAAATAGAAATCTGATTACTTTTTGGAAATGTGTCGTGCTATATCACACTGCGATTGCCTCTCAAGTAATGCTATCTGGGCTAAGACAACCAGAGGATATTTGAATCTACAGATTGTGTTTTACATGTTTCACTCCACTCTTGAGAATCTTACCCATTTTAATAACACACATTGTCTTACCAGGCAATAATCTGAAATACTAATAAATTACCGGTTATATTTCATCTGCACGTCTTTCACGGAAGGAAGGCTCTTTTTTTTTTAGCTGAGGATATTTGAATCTGCAAATTGTGTTTTACATGTTTCACTCCACTCTTGAGAATTTTGCCCATTTTGATAACTCGCATTGTCTTACCAGGTAATAATTTGAAATACTAATCAATTACCAGTTCTATTTCATTTGCACGTCTTTCATGGAAGGAAGGCTCTTTTTTTATAGCTAAAATTCGATGGATGCAAATACAATTAAAACCAAATGTGTTTTCAGTGGATGTGCTGGAGACTTGAGTCTTTCTGGTAGATGTGTTAATATTCCCCATTGCTAAATTGATATACTTACTTCCAAGACTACAAATGGTAGGATTAAATGCTTTACTTTATCTGGGACTAGTTTGACCAACAGTTAGAGCAGTTAGTCTTAAACAAAACCTTTTTGAAATAGGCAGTATTATTTTTAAAAAAACGAATTTGGTATGCCACCCTCTAACCATATTTATTTTACTCTACATTTGGCCACTGGGCAACATTGTTTGGAAATCCATTCAAAGTAAATCTACATTTTCTTAAAAGTTTCTTAAACTTTCAAAGACTATGCAGCGTACATATCTGCATACATTTGAAGCATGGGGATATCCAATGTTTATAACAATGTTCAAGCATCTTCTCAGATGCATGTATACAAATTTTGTTCCAGAGAAACAAGATATGTGAAGTGGCTTAATGTTGTTGTGCTTTGTTTGTAGAAGCTATAGATTATAATAATATAAGTCTTGCATTTAATATAGCACCTTACTATGTTATTAAAATGTCTCAATGAACTTTACTGTAAAATGTAGTGGCTGCGTATTCTTAGGCAAATTTGACAGTCAATGTACATACAATGAATAATCCACAAACAACAATGCAGCAAATTACCAATTTTATGTGCAGAGTTGTCAGCCAGGACACTGGCAGAAATTCCTTTCTCTTTTCCAAAAGCGTCATGGGATGTTCAATGTTCCACCTGTACAGGCAGACAAGACTTCGGTTTTAATGACTCATCTGAAGGAGGGCACCGAGAATGCACCAAAGGTTGACCCTAGCGCTGTGTTGCAGTGTCAGGCTGGAAACTGAGCTCAAAGTGCCAATGTGTGGCTTTGAACCCTCAACCTTCTGGCTCAGGGGCCAAAATGCCACAGGTTGAACGAAGAGAAAGTGAGAGATAAGGAATTCTTATGTCTCGATGCCACGGGAAAGTGTGAGAAGGCGTTGGAGACAGTTGGCTCTGTTTATATTGTAATATAGTATGGATGTACGAGTATGAAGAACCCATGGATTTGAAGATTGAGCCGAACGTTTAGAGCACCACTGTCCACAATAGTATTGGCAAACAGAATGTAGATCAGAGGTGAGGGGAAAGAGATCATTATTTTATTAGACTACAAACCTTTTTCTTGTAACCAGGACTTTAAAGAGATGGTCCCCACAAAGACCTTCCGGGGCATGGGAACTGCATTGAGATCTAAACTAAACGTGAGCTTTGTAGAATTAAGAGCTGTTCAGTGGGAGAGAGAGAAGAGAGAGAGAGAGAGAAATCACCAAAAGAAACAAAATCTTTTATGAAGGATGTTTTGACAAAGGAGAAACGAGGTTTCCAGTTGAGATCGGAGGAAATAGTGAGGTCGAGAACGGTGATCGTTTCAGATCAAATGTGGGAGATGGCAGCTGTAGCTCAGTTTGCGAAGATTAATTTTTCTTTGTGATAGGCAGAGCCATAAGAATTTACAACACAGGAATTACATTTGGCCCATAGTCAATGTCCTGGCTCTTTGGAAGATTGAAAGAAACTAAATTCTTATCGCTCGTCAATACGTAGAGACGCACAGATGGACACTGTATTACACGATCTGGCGAGTAAACTTCTGATCTTCGCTAAAGTTTTGTGACCTTATCTGTTGCCAACAATGTGGAATAACGCGTGAAACACACTCGAGGGTGAAGTTCAGGGTTTCGCGTGTGTTGGCACCCACTTCAACGTCTGCTATAGGTTCGTTCAACAAACATATCTCAATTTACTTCAACGTGTGCAGTGTTTTCAAATAAGGGCGTTTGCTTTGACTGCGTTTGGTGCGCGCATTGCACAGTGTTAAAACATCAAATGAAGAAACAGCTCAGTGTGGAAGTATTGGCTGCAGCTTTAAGCCTCGCCACTTCTCGGTAATAATATGGTAAGTCGCTTCTATTACAGGCAAACGCTTTGTGGGGGGGGGGGATTTGTCATCTTCAGGTAGAGAGATCAGTGCGGCTTCACTGAATCTTATCGCCCTCTCTAGGTGGGGGAACTCAGTGCCGCTGTCTCACTACACGGGAAAGAGAGGGAATCAAACCCTCTGATGGACTGAGAATGTGCGGGTGAAGAAAGAACGGGCGCCGTCTCCACGAGTGTGCAACGGTCTCACCTCCCCTATGGCAAGGCTCGGTCTGTCTGTCTGTCTGTCTGTCTGTCGCTTTTATCAACTGCACATGGTGATGGCGTGGATTGCAACGGGCGGGGGGAGTGAGCGCAAGCAGATAGGATAGCAAGGACGCTCGCCACAGTGCAACGCAAGGTGCGGGGGGGGGGGGGGGGGGGAGGGGGTGGGGAGGATGATTGAACGTTATTACATGTTGTTCTTCACAGTGTGATTTTTATTTCTCTCGCTCGGTACTGGCTCTCGTGGTACCGTGGTTTCGTGAATCTACATACCATATGCAACATATATAGGTATACATATATATATATATATATGAAACAAGTTGCAGATCCCTCTCTCTCTCACTCTGTCTCTCTCTCTCTCTCTCTCGAAGAGGTACGAGTAGGGTAGACAAGTGGAATATGTTCAGATGTGGTATTGCCTATTGAATCGCCTGGTGTGATTACGTTGCCCGAACTTGTTGCTGTCGGACAGAAAGCTCTGTTCTTTCTGTCACCGATCCGGTGCACGTTCTTCGGATTATTATACAGCACATCTGCTCCTCGGGAAGCGGAGAGAGAGAGAGAGAGAGAGAGAGAAAAAAATAGCGGATCGATCGTGTACAAGACCGGGACCGACAGCTCCAATGCATCCTGCAAGTGACCGACTTTTTAGAGAGGTACAGTACGCCCAGCAAATAGTTTTATTTTCTTTTGCAAATAATAACATCGGCACATTTTGATCACACCCGGCAATAGTCTTGCGGGTGCCGAGAAATCCTCCGAACTTGTGTCTGTGGGAGGACTAAATATAGACTGCGAGCCGTTAAAAATAAAATCCATATATTATCGGGAATTGTATTTAGCAAAAAAAAAACTCGTTCAACGGGAAGCTCTGCGGTGCAAAGAGAGGGGAGGGAGGAGGGGATGGCGGTGGCGGCGGCGGTGGTGGGGGGTCGGGGAGAGGAGGGGAGGGGGTGGAAGAGGGTGTTCTGCTTTTCTTTTGGGTCAAACTGTTGGTGTGAAATGCCTTTTATTTCGACCATTCATTCCTTCCAGAAGTGGTGCGGTCAACATCGAGGCTGCTTTGGATTTTGAGTCCGGATCGAGCCCGCTTTTGCAAACCCTTTTGCCCAACCACCCCATCCAACCCATCCCCCCCCCCCCCCCCCCCCACCCCCTGACAGACGGACACCAGACCCAGAGAAACGGACTGAGACCTCAGCCCAAGTAGCCGGCGATGGCGGCGGGAGTGGCAGCGTGGCTGCCCTTCGCCCGGGCGGCGGCTATCGGGTGGATGCCGGTGGCCAGCAACCCCATGCCGGCCGCCCCGACCCAGAGGAAGCGCTCCCAGGACGGGCTCGTCGTGTTGAACGTGAGCGGCCGGCGCTTCCAGACCTGGAGCAACACCCTGGAGCGCTACCCGGACACCTTGCTGGGCAGCTCGGAGAAGGACTTCTTCTACCACGAGGAGACGGGCGAGTACTTCTTCGACCGCGACCCGGACATCTTCAGGAGCATCCTGAACTTCTACCGCACCGGGAAGCTGCACTACCCGCGGCACGAGTGCATCGCGGCTTACGACGAGGAGCTGTCGTTCTTCGGCGTCATCCCGGAGATCGTCGGCGACTGCTGCTACGAGGAGTACAAGGACCGCCGGCGGGAGAACACGGAGCGGCTGCTGGACGACGCCGAGGACGAGACCGGGCAGGACCGGCTGCCCTCCATGACCGCCCGGCAGCAGGTCTGGCGGGCGTTCGAGAACCCGCACACCAGCACCTTGGCGCTGGTCTTCTACTACGTGACCGGCTTCTTCATCGCCGTCTCGGTCATCGCCAACGTGGTGGAGACGGTGCCGTGCGGGCTGGCGGGCGGCCACCACCCGCGGGAGCTGCCGTGCGGCGAGCGCTACGCCCTGGCCTTCTTCTGCCTGGACACGGCGTGCGTCATGATCTTCACGGTCGAGTACCTGCTGCGGCTGCTGGCGGCCCCGAGCCGCTACCGCTTCGTGCGGAGCGTCATGAGCATCATCGACGTGGTGGCCATCCTGCCCTACTACATCGGGCTGATCATGACCGACAACGAGGACGTGAGCGGCGCCTTCGTCACCCTCCGGGTCTTCAGGGTCTTCCGGATCTTCAAGTTCTCGAGGCACTCGCAGGGCCTCCGGATCCTGGGCTACACCCTCAAGAGCTGCGCCTCCGAGCTCGGCTTCCTGCTCTTCTCGCTCACCATGGCCATCATCATCTTCGCCACCGTCATGTTTTACGCCGAGAAGGGCTCGTCGGCCACCAAGTTCACCAGCATCCCGGCCGCCTTCTGGTACACCATCGTCACCATGACCACCCTGGGGTAAGCGGCTCTCGGATGGGGTGGTCGACTCCCCGACACGTGTTGGGTGTGGGTGGGGGTGGGGTGTGAGGTGTGAGGTTGGGGGGTAACAGCAGAGAGGTAAGTATTTGTGGCTTCCAGTATCTCTTCTTTCCTGGTCCTGTTTTTTTAAGACATCCACGTGGTTCTAGTGCTTCTCCCCCCCCCCCCTCCACCCCCCCCCCCCACCCCCCCACCACCTCTCCATTTGAAGTAACTGTTGCTGCAAGTAGCGCCGATTCTTATCATTGAAAGTTCTCCTAACTTCCAAGGTGTTGTTCCCCGAGCAAACAATCTCGGAGAAGGGCATCTTGGCCCGCGGGTTCCCAATGGCGCTGGAGCAGAATGCGGGTTCTCTTTCTTTGCCTGTGTACTGACTTATGGTTTGTAGAGAAGGAAGGAAGGAAGGAAGGAAACTCATTGGAAGTGCAACTAAAGTGGTATTACATCATTCCGCACTAGCGAGTCTGTCTGTCCATGTAGACATATCCACAGTAACAAGGTAAGCATTACATCAAGGGATTGGTAGTAATGGATTGTAAACCATGCACACCTTCCTAGTAGTAAAGAAAGGTTGGAAAGGAGTGCCGTGATTTACGTTGTACAATTCAAAGTGACAACTAAACAGTTCTAGTGTCTCTTTGCTGATGTTCCATATTGTTTTGAGCTGCACTATACAGGACTGCATTCTACTTTCAACTGGATGCCAGGACACATATTCTGTAAACATTGGGCCCAACAGATCATTCCGTGATACTAAATGCCAATATTGAGGTAAATAAATCCCAGCTTGATTTTGCAGAAAGCACAAGATGAATGTGGAAGAGGGAACTGACACACAACTACCAATCATCCAACATTACATTTAATCTGTCTACCGATAGTGAAACACTGTCAGTGGACAGATTAAATGTAATGTTGGACGATTGTTCCAGATGAAGGTAAAATTTGCCATATTTGTTCAATTACTCAAGTGTTAACACCTGTTGGTTAGATGACACTTTAGATGCTTAGAAGATTCAATTGAGGTGAAATATTGCAACATGGTGTTCACATTATTGATCAATATTTCCAAGTGCTTCTATGCTACATTGTTTCAAAAATGTTGGCCATGCAAAAGCATATTGGCAGGTGAAGATCACAAACATATTTTACGATAATAATAATAATACGGCATTTTAATGTTTCTTACTGGCCTGAAGTTCCCAAGGCAACTTCCTATCTCTGTGATCTGCTCCTACTCCATCCTCTGCTCAACTCCTCCATTCAGCTACCTCAGACCTGATCTCATCCCTTACCCCATCCATGCCAACATCGATGGCCAACCATTCAGATCTTACACTCCTCGCCTCTGAACTCTCTTCCTCTACCCATTATCTTAACCCATCACTATCTGGCTTCAAGATCCAACTTAAAACCTACCTCTTTAACCTCATCTGGTGTCACTTCCCCCTTCCTCCTTCTCCACTGCTCGGGGTCCGACCCTGTCACAGTAAAGTGCTCCGGGATGTTATCCTACGTGAAGGGTGTAATAAATGCAAGTTGGTGGTGAAGTTGATGGCAGTTTACCTGGTAAACAAGCAGCTGCTGCAGTATTCACACCATGGTGCATTTAAGCATGAGCTGAGATGATGAATGTTGGCTGGGTGTTTGACCATCGGTCAGGGGGTAATAATATCCATGCTTGATGTAATCCTCTTGTGATACTTGTACATGTTTACGGATCACTGGAACAGAAATGCTGAAATTGCTGAAATTTTCCACCTCTCCAGCTCGGAGATAGTGAGGCCAGTTGTTAGTTGCACTTTTGAATTTTCTGAAGCGATATCTGTATCAAATACTTTTCATAACTTTGGGAAAGCATGCAATCCGTGAATCTCATTGTATTGTGAAGTAAATGTACTTTCTTCAGCTACTATCCAATGCATCACAGTAAGCAAATATGCAAAGCAATATTTGGAAATATTTGTAAGCCAAATACCATCTCGCGATGGATATCACTATCTTAACACTTTTTGATACTTAGAAAAATCTAAAGTTCCTATGGACGGAGAAGGTGACTCATAAGGACTCATTCATTAACTGATCCTCTGGATATAATGGAAGTATTCTAGACAAAAATATAGTAATACAAAGTCTCATCAAACTGATCATTGTCATTAGAATTCCTGATAGTAGTCGCTCAGATAAAATGTTAAATAATTAACTTCTACGTAAAAATAGAAATGGCCGGGTACTCAGACATGATATTTAATGTTTCACTATAGATGTGAAGGTAAAAATAACGTGAAATTTTAATACAGCTGTGCCATAATTAATGGCACATTGTTGAAGAGCAGCAATATTAACCCATGTTTATTATTAGAACATGGTGCCACCTAGTCTTTTCTCTGTCCCAAACCTCAAACTGAAAACTGAGGCATAAATCATCTGTACTTTTGGTGGCTGGTGAGAATTAAATATACCCCTAAGTCTTTTTTAGATGGCACGTTGTATTTGGTACCAGCACAAGCAATCATATTTATTTCTTAAGTCACAGTTCCCTTTCATGTTTCAGCTGTAAAGTGTGAAAATATAACTCTTTATGGTTTCCTTATTAGGAATTCCATTAAATCTACTGGAAGATTACACATCACATTCATCATGCCACATTATCAAGATATCAAATGTACTATTAGCGTTTATCTATTATAGCAATGATTTTGTTGAAATACGAGGTGTGTCAGCTATAGCTTTCTATCCCCAGAGCAGGCAATGATTTCAGCTTGAGATGCTGAAATGAAGATTATGTTGAGTAAACTGTAAAGCAAGGATCTAAAGTAGATTTCTCTGTCTGTTTTTTTAAAATACCTTTTTTGACAAATTACAGTGAAATTTCATTGGTGTAATGTTAAACTCATCAGTGAGTATTTTCTAGAGCTTTGTGTATTTCTGTCCAAAAATCTGCTCAAATCATCAGGCTGCAACACATCAATGGGAAGGAATCCAATTACTCTCTAGCACTGAGGCGAGATCTAATAGATGGATGCTGTGCAAGCTTTTGAGGGTAGACACCGTGACGATTTTGAGGTCCATCTCATTAATGAATTGTAGTTCTGTAGCATGCATCACTTTACTTATTTATTGAAGAGATAATAAGAAATAACTGGCTTCTTTATAAAGTCATAAATAATATGACAGGAAAATATTAAGTGCACTGAGATGGGACAGATTTGCATTTTCATGTTGAAGCTCTGTGTGTTCCATTGGTTTTTTCATTCGCTAAAATGAATGTGAGACAAATATGCATGTTTAAGAAGTCGTTCTAATTAAAAAGGAACGGCATTTCTGTTTGCTGAATATTTGTGTACTCAGCTGCAAAATGGTTAGATGTTTCCAATTTCCACAAGACATCAGGAAAACAAACGTTGCTATGTTTTTCTTCACAATGTATTGTTGTACAAACTAGGGAAAAGTTTGAAAACTACTTGAACTTATAATGTGAGATTCTCAGAAGGCTGCTGAGTTTTATGAACCTTCACAGGCAAAAACGTCTTTTCTGCTGTTAGATAAATTCACTGGCTGGCAAGTTTAAAATTTACAGACTGGCAGAGAATAAAATGCTTTCATCTGAAAAAGCCTGTAAGTGCACTGACATTTGGAGAATCACACTTAGTGCAAAATTTTCCCAATGGTAGGTCCTGCAAAATAGATTGAAACTTATTTTCAATGGAAATGCTGCTGTCTTGATCTAGCAAATGATTACTTGTTGAAAAAGGCAGATTCGAGGACTGGGTGGTATGATGATTCACAGTGTTTATTCATTCTGGTAATGTTTTTTAATTCAGCCTTAATTTTGAACATGGTGTTCAAAATTTCTAATAACAATAGAAAATGAATCTGAAAGTTAAGACTGAATCCAACAATGCACCAAAATTCTGGACACTCTGAAATCCTACATAAATAGAGTCAATCTAGATTCAGCTGGAATTTCTGCCCACATATGTCTAATATTGTTGGTAAAATTGAATGACATACATTTGTTCCCTTGGTTTTCAGAATAAGAAATATTTAGAGGTAGTATATGTTTTCTGACAATTAATTTGATGCAGTTGATGTTAATTGGCACCCATAGTCAAAGTTACTGGATATAGTTTGTTTGGCACACACCCTGATATAAGAAGTTCCTACATTAACTCTTCAAAATATACATCTTGTAAAAAAAAAAGCAAAGGGTAAAAAAAGTCACAGGAGAAAGAAACTGTACAATGTTCAATACCAATGAAATGACAAATTTATCGAGTAAGCTATTGGTTATATCAGTCAAATACTTATGAATACTTTGTTAGTGTCAGGCTGGCTCAGTAGAAAAAACCTCTTGCTTCTGAATCAGAAGGTTGTGGGTTCAAACCACATATCAGGACTTTCAACTCACTGCCCAGGTTGATACCCCAATGCAGTGCTTGGGGAATGCTGCTCTGTTGGAGATGCTGTCCTTTCGATGAGACGTTTAAACCAACGTCCTGTATGCCTGTGCATGTGTATATTTAAGGTATCATTGCAATATTTGAAAAGAGAAGGGACTTCCTTCTGATGAACTGGCCAACAATTCCCCAAATAAAAATTGGTCAGTCACTTCACGGCTGATTGTGGGACATTACTGTGCACAAATTAGCTGCCACTTTTGTCGACAAAATAGTCATTACAGTGTATCCTGTGAAGTACTTTGAAATGTCCTACTGACTATTGTCAGTGCTATACAAAATGTAAGGATTATTATTATTACTTTTGAAGAACACTCATCCTTCACCTTATATCCCAATCTTTTGTAGCCACAGAAGGGAAACGAGCAGCTGTGTTCTTACCCTTACAATCTATAGTTAGTAACATTAAGAAAGACTGCTCACCCCAAGAGGTAACCATGACATGATTGATATTATCTGTAGACATATTTGAACTTGAACTTGTCAATTTATCCACTTTGAACTTGTTGCAGGAGTTAA